ATTATTAATTCATAACAGAGTTGAAATGTTGAGCTTGTCAATCTTAATCTGAAAATACAAAAACTGAAATATAGGTAAGAGAAGACACTGACACTTGCCTTTCTTTGCCATCTTTCCTTCAAAAGACTTCTGTGATGTAATTCCCTCAATGCAGATGACTCATGGACTGATCCATTATTTTAATTGGAGGGTAAATGGTTTGGCGTGGCGGGGTTGAAACAAACTTTGGGACGTGTGTCAATATTGCAATTTCATAGATAATTCAAGTATTTTTTCAGAAATTCTTTTTGATCAGTTAAAGTTGACAAGCATTTGATTATATTAGCAGCAACATTTTGGGATAAGTGGCCATTTTGATTTGTATAATATTAAATTAATATGTAATAATGCTTAGTAAGGACATGCAAATATGTCTGTTGTCCACTACTAAGACAACCAATTTTTTAAAAACAAAAAAATATATATATTTAGTTTTACATTGTAATGCAAAACAACCTGTTCCATTAATTCATTGCTTTAAAATACATTTTGTAGTTTCCTTTCATTTAAAATTATTGAAGTAAGCTTGGGGGACTCAAAGGGCACTTGATTGTTTGTCTGAACACCTTGTTTCTCTTGTGCATTAAGGACACTCATGAATTAACAATAAATAGGTTATATACAGTATAAAATACCACGTACTGTCCGCCCTCCCATGCCACCCTGGCATGACCTCTTGCCCCCCCATTGCCACCCCATGTAAAATGTTCTAGAACCGCCACTGGTCACATGGATATGGGCGGCACTCATTATAATCTTGTTCACCTGCGTGAGGTGTGTGCGTGGAAGAGAGGGTGAAACAGGGTCGTTGTACTTTTTGTTGACGGCAAGTTTAATGATTGCTTTGATTACTATAACAATGTACATGTCCAAGGAAAATAAGTTGATCATCCCAGATTTCGTTAAACTACATTATTTTTCCACAGAGTTTTTGATCTCAGCAAGTACTTTGTTGTAGCGTGTAACACAATAGCAAACAGGCCCGGCCTCAGCCTCTCAGCGACTTTGTTTGTTTCCTGCTGTCGCTATAGCTCTTGTACTTTTACTTCAGTGACATTTTGAGTGCAGGATTTTTTCTTGTAACAGAGTATTTCTACATTGTGGTATTTTTACTTGTGATCCGAGTACTTTTTCCACCTCTGCTAATCAGAGTTCAGATACCATACTTTAATCCCAAAACTCCTTTGGTAGTTTGTTTTATGAATGGAAAAAAATACATTATGATTATTATTGTACAAACCATTTATGTTTTATCTAAACTTAGCCTATAATTATATATTTAAAATTTAATTTTTTTATATCTTTTTTTGATTAATCGGGATATGCAAGGTAACTAGTAAAGTTGTCTAAGTGGAAAATAGGAAGATATTTTCAACTAAAATGTACTGTAGTCGAATTAAAAGGTAGCATAAATGTGGAAATAACTCCTGAGTACTTGGGCAGCCTATATGTAATTTGTTGCATTCTCTTAGGGAGAAAGTACATAAGATCATGGTCAGAAAAAAAGATTGTTTCATCGGCTTTCAACACAGATTATTTAGCAAAAACATGTAGAATTGCACCATCAATTTCTTTGGATAAGGGCCAAGGGCTTTGCAGCTGGCAAATCAAATCAATTATGTGAGAAACTGCACTTAATTCGAGACTGACAACATGGAGGAAGTGAAGCAAAACACTTACAAAAGCCAAGGATTTTTCACTGTTGTTGTGGCCATGGAAACTATATTCAGAGAAATGAACAGAATTGCATAACCATGTCAGTGTTCCAGGGTGATAGCTGTGAGTTTGTGACCACTTATGTACTTTGCACAAATGAAGTAAAGCCTCTCTCACTTTTTAAAATGTAAGAATTAGGGATAAGCAACATGACACATAGTCTCTGTGCGGAGAGATTACCAAGAGACTTGAAGTGTGGGAGCACTCAGAATGACTGTTCCCATTTTTCAGTTTATATCTTGACTCTCTCCTCTAGAGAACAAGAAGCTGAAACCATCAGAGGTGTTGCACATCTTGGGTTATGAGCAGCCCGACATCTGTACTCTCAAAGACTGTGATCTCCAGGCCATGTCCTTTCAGCCACAGGACATCAATAAAGTAAACCCACTTCATCCATTTACAGTATTTACTATGAGTTTGAAATGAACTTTGCTCCCCCAAAAATACAAATCATGTTTGTGCGGCACCAAGGGTGTTTTAAAGCAGTTGAATATGTTACTGACAATATGATTATGTCTGTAGATTCATATACCTAAGCCACCGAAGGGCCGCCCCAAACCAGCTCACATGGCTCTTGTGCCTAAGACACAGCCAACGGAAGGAGCAAGTGATACTGTGCAGGGGCCAGCGACTCATCCAGTGAATCAGGATCCTGACTCTCAACCTCCAGACTGCACAGGTTGGTCATCTTCATTTGTCCTCATGAACAATAACACATACATGTACAGTGTACTGTAGTGAGAAAGATGTTCATAATTTGTATCCTAAGGCTGAAATTAGTGTTATTTTCTGTTCCGAATACTTTTTTTTTTTCAGGATCAGAAGGGTTCAACTTTGATGACCAAGAGATGGTTCTTCCACACAGCATTCTGGGTACTTTAGAGGATTTCCGAAGTTACTTGGAAGCCAAAGGGGAGACAGAGGTATATCATAATGAGACAAAGTGAAACAGCATTTACATTTTAACATTTCAAATCTGGCAACCAAATGCAGCTGTCATTCTGTA